TTCCAAACGGTCCAGTTTGCAGGGACTTGTTGCATGAACTGCGGGTTCAGGAAGAAAAGCGCTTTGAGAAGCACATGACTTTTCCTTCCTATTGTTCAGATCTTACTACACACACACACTATGTTGTTGCCTGATTCTGTCACAGAGCAACCCATTTTCAGATGCGTGAATAAAACATTCAGGCACCTTTCTTCAAAACTGCGGGTTTGTTATGCAAATGAACACAACATAAGACAAGGAGCATTACTCCAAGTCCGAGCTGAAGCACCCATTCTGTCGTACAGCTTACTGTCTTGTTCAGTAGCAGAATGATATCCAGAGATATATCAATGTTTTCTGCCTAACAGCCAAGTTCCTCTTCTCCAAACATTCAACCTCATCCTGCTGCTAGTTCACAGCAGCACACCGTCTTCCAGGGTGTGGGTATTTGCATCATCCAAAATTACCATCCAATCTGTTCTCTGACTACTTCAAAGCGGCATGCTGAGCTGATTGACACAGAGACATTCATACCTCCCATTGGGAGAATGGGTTGTCTGCTGTCTGGTATCTGGACAAGTCCTGTCCTTTACTGAGCATTTGCGTCTCACTCATGCACGAAGCTGTCATTTCCCCAATGCGTCAGCCCACCAGAAAGGTGTCACAAGGGATTAGGAGAAGCCTAAGGGGGATTAAAGTGTTCTTGACAGACTGGCCGCTTCACTTGTTCCAAAACTTTATTTGTATATTTTGTTTGTGGGAAAGTATTGGCAGAAATGCAACTAATACGGCACAGTCAAGACCCTTTATAGACAAGTGAAGAAAAGTTTTTCTTCACTTGTTCATAGAGGGTTTTTTTTATAGCAGTATCATTACGCCACACATTAAAAAGATTTGAAAAGTCAATCCTTAATTTAAGCCCTATTCTTGCACGTGACACAAAGGCCAGTTTTTATCCACTCTTCAAAACAGGAAAGAGAAGAGAGCATATGTTGTGACAGACTGAAATGGTGACAAGAAAATAGATATTTGCTTAAATGTGATCATTTCTACAGGACGGATGATGAAATCAACTTTGTTACAAAAAAAGATAAAAAAGGACCAATGACCAGATCTAATAAGGAGGATCTTAAGAAAAACGGCTAACACCTTCTACTGACTAACAAAAAGCCAAATCTTGTGGTTACCAAGTCTATTAAACTGCTCTTAGTTATCATCGACATGCTGTAGTAAATTCTTTTCTTGACACAGATCAGTTCCCATTGAACTTGAAAAATGCAAAAATCAAACCTAATGCTTCACTTACAAGTAATTATCATATCTTACATAACATGTTTTCCAAAGATTATTGGAAAGGGAAACGATCTTTGGCTTTAACCCGCAGCAGCAAAAGAAGTGAATGACACATCAGTCGTGACAGCAAAGGATCTAAACGTCTGTGTTGGTTTGATCTTTCTGTAAACAATCTGGGTGAACGATTACATGCGGCGTTCCTCATGGCTCCATTCTCGTGACAATTTTATGCCCTTGCTCTTGTTCTGATTATATTTCGTCATCACATATCATGGCCTCTCATCCCACTCACTGAGTCAAAACATTAAAATCAATATTTTCAACCACCTTTAATTGGTTTTTATTCAGTAAATTATGTCACTGTAATGATGTGTTTATTCATCAGGCATACTCCATTGGGTATTTGATAACACTGGCATGTCCCCAACTGGATAACTGTACTTAAAATAAAGTTTGGGTTTTTCCAAATGTTTCACAGTGAGATTATGTTGCAATAGAAGATTATTCCATAGCTTCTGGCTTTTCACACAACTTTAAATATAATTATCGATAGCGTTGTGCCTCCTATTTCCAATTTCCATTTCATACATTATAATGTGATTGTTTTCACTTTATGCCTCAGCACCTCTTTAATTTGTTATCCACATTTCACCTCTTATCGCCAACTTTCTCCTTTACTTTCCAACTTGTGATGAACCAATTATCGTCGAAGGGGCTGTTTGCGATTTCCCTGCAGTCGAGCCGTTCATTTGCTTCTCGCTAATGTCCAGAGTTTTTAATCAAGCAAAGAGACGACGAAGGAAAAAAAAAATACAGTGTGGGCCATGCAGGGTGTATTAATCCTCCTCCTCCTTCCTCTCTGCTATTTTCATCTAATTAAGGGTCATTCTGTCTCCTGGCCACATTAGGACACTGCACACCCATCTCAACCCACATAATTAAATGTTTCTTTGTGCTTGCCATCTGGAGACCTCATCTCTTTAAACATGCATGTCAAATTGATTTCCTAATAATGTTTATATTTCTTTTCACCGCTTTGTTATCATCCAGCCTTGGCTGTTTATGTTTATTTTGCTTTCATCAGCAGCACCCATCGCACGCAGCCATACACACACAGCACGCTTGGAACAACAGAACCCTTGAGGTAGTTTGCAGCACCAGCACAACACAACCAGCAAAGCTGACATAATGAAGTTCAAAGCAGCCCAACAATTTAATGTATAAATAATTGCATATTTATGCAGTCAGGGCATCGCTAAGCTGGCACTTTGAATATGCTGCGAACATCCTCGTTGTAGCTTTCACCGAGGACACAATGCCTGCTCAGTGGTTTTTTGACGCGGAAGATTTCATGGTTCATTTTTGCATCAAAGACTGGCAGATTATCCATGTTTCAACAGTAAACAACATTTCTCTGTCAGCCCAACGAGGCGATATGCGATTAAATCCCCAGGTTGATTCAATAAGCACACATCTGAAGCGCAAAGTGATGTTTGCTGTTCTTTTCCAGGACCCATGTCCAAGCGGATCATCGTCTCCATCTCCCCTTCTCTCTCGCTCTTTGGTGCTATCAAATGATAGTTAAAATACAGACATATGTGTAGCCAGAGAAGCGTTGAGCGCTTCTCATTCTTTTTTCTCTGAGTGCAGTTGAGGATTAGTCTGTGCCTGAGTGCCTAGAATAATGATCACTGCAGCAGAGAACCACATTTTCACATTCCAGGAGATAAGGGGTAGGCAATCTGCAAGCAGAGGATTTACCCGGCTCCCTGTGGCTTATTGTGAAGCTAACAGAAAAGTCACCACCAACAGCCAATAACTGGTCTTCAATGTACCATGCACCAGCAGGAAGCCGTCTCAGTACTCATATTTTTTGGACCCAAAGGAGTATAAGTCACTCTGAAAAAGGCTCTGAAGGTCTAAGCAGTGCCTTGCAAAAGTATTTTTATCCCTTGACCTTTTTTTCACAATGCAGGTAAAAACATGGCTTCCAAAACATTCACGAATAAAAACCTAAAAAAATGGTGTGGGACACTTTCTTCTACTCTGATGCCCATAAACAAAATGGAGAAATCACCTTGTTTTCCAGAGGTTTGCACAATATATTACATGCAAGAGTGAAAGTGCAAGTTGGAAGGACAGCAGTGGATGCCTGCACCTGACAGGAGCTGTGTTTCCATTATAAATGTGCAAAATGTTGGTGATATTCCGCTAATGTCAAAAATGCACAATTTCACTGTTGTGGTGTTTCTGTTAAAATTAGAATCACAACTGAAGTCACACATGAAAAGGTTTGCAACAAGTCAACAATCAGCATGATGCGCCGTCATCCTCCCACCACTTTATGTCGTCGTCTTCATGTTTCTGTCGGCAGCAACATCTGGTTGTTGATCATGTGACTCGTGATGCAAAAACACTTTTTCCACTGCAGTTTTGAGAAATACACAAATTTTGATACAACTGAAAAACCAAAGCAAGAACTTGATTAAAAAAAACTTCTTCTTTTTTTTCAAAACTGCTGTGAATCCATTAAGAATCACATTTAAGGCATCAGGAAATGCAGCTACTGATAGTTGACAAGATGTGCTGGCTGCACAAATTAGAAATGCAGGGTGGAGGAAAATGTTGATTTGTTGTGATTGATAACAGCATCTCAATATTTACTAATCATTTAGCCTCAGGATGATATCAAAGTTGCTCCTCATGGTCGATCAGATGTTGTCCATGTCTGGCCTGAATCTTTCTACCTTCCAGATTGGTGAAGGAGGATTTTATATCTACACTTTGAGCTCCTCAAGTAGGTCAGAAAGGTATGACAAAGTTCTGCTAGGCTCGGTGTTAGCTTAGCTCATCTGTTTGCCAGACTTTTATATATTTTCAACTTGACTGTCAATGATCCATTCCTAAAGAGTGTAAAGGGGAGAAAAACGGCAAGGTTGGCCAAGTCATAGTGAGAAACAACAGCCACATCCTGTTCAGTCTACAAGTCTCCTCTGAATGTTGTTTTAAATACCAAAGCTGTGTGTAGCTTCATCCCAAGGCTCAGATCAGACCTCGGTCCAGTTAGACAAGACTTGAAAACTGATTTTTATCAAAACAAAATCTCTTCATCCAGTCTGACTGAGTTTGAGTTTGTTTGCAAGGAGGAATGTGCAAAGAGGTTCAAACATACTCTAATGCCACTAATGTTTTTCCCTCTAATTCACAATTATGCTTTAGTTTGTTGGTCAGTCACATAAATTCATATACAGTATATTGAAGTTTGTGGTTTTACCAACAGAAAGCATTGTGTGACAAGCAGCTTTCATGGTCTAATCTTAGTTTCTTTCCCTCAACAGAGCAAATTATGCATCTTAAATGAAAAATGGCTTGATAAGGAAAGCCATTTTCAGATTTAATGCATTTTGAAGAGCTAAAATGACAGAGACACCAGGATGTGCTTCTGAAGAAGTCAGAATAAAACATTTTCAGAAAAGAACCATTAAACTAGAAGAAATATCTTTTAAAAAAAAACGCTCACACATAACACCCAAATCACAAGACAACAAAAGCTTGCATAATGCTGACATGATAATCTGAAACAGCAGAACAGCTTGTTCTGTTTGTAACCCATTTCTCAATAAACAAGAGGAGCGAGAAAAATGCCAAATAAGCTGTTCAAAACGCAGGCTCCATGGGATGGAAATAATTCATTTTTATACTCTGAATCTGTTCAGTGAAACTCCTACCTTTCCCACATACTGTGCATCCGGTCCTATGTGTTCTTCTAAAACAAAGAATTGGTTCCAGATCCAGCCACGCTTGGGTCTGTGGTGCACCTCTGTCTCCCCGTTGGCCAATCTGGTCTGGTTCTTGGAGGGCACTTTGGTAGGGACGTGATGGCCCGTCCCAGAGCACCTCTGGATGAAGCAGAGGCAAACCAAGAAGGGACAGAGGCAAGAGGTGGTGGGTATCCTCATGGTGGCGCGGCGCTGTGCAGCTGTATTCCTTTACTCCGAGGCGGCGAGGTCCTCCCACCACTGCCGCAGCAGCCGCCTCCAACAGCCACCGCTGCAGTGGTCCAGAGAAAACGACAGTTTAAATCCAAACTACAGAAACGATCTTCGAAGGGGATCCTCTAAGGTTCATGGTCCAAAGCCAAGGTACATTTACATTATGGAATTTCCCAGACTCTGATCGACTTTTCAAAGGAACGCCAACTTCTGGGTAGCTCTCCCTAAGAGAAGGGGTTATTCCAGGAAGCCATTCTGGATGTCCTGAAAGAGAAAACAGAGGAAACACAGATTAATTTGATGGATATTAGAGTCTAAATGTCCACTAATTCCTCCAATTAAATTGCGGCTCATAAATCCTTCTAGACGAGGACACACACGTCAAGCTGTCTGACTGAGAGAGCACACAAAGGGAACAAGGAATCCTGCTGCATTATCTCAGCTGTTTCTCTCATTACGCACATGATGGAAATATCTTCTGACTTAAAGAGTAGAGCTGCTATTAAGAAGGTTGTCTCAGCCTGTACCGTCAGAGGTCTGCTTGGTCACTGATATCGCCTGATGAGATCGACATCATGAGTCACAACCATGAAGCCTTGGGAATCTGCCTCAAAGCCTGACTTGATTTTATTAAAAGTAACTCCATGTGTTTTGATTTGGACGTTTTAACAAGAAAAATTAGTGTGTTTCTGATGCATGGTGAGTAATACAAATGTAAGTTTTTACAAATTGGCTGCAAAACCTTTAAGTAGGATATTACACGAGTAGTGAGTGAATAGAAAATGCTGATCGTTTTTAACTTTTTTATGTTTTTACCAATAAGAATTCAAGAGTTGGCGTTTATGTTCAATCACTTTGAGTCAATATTCTGTAGCGCCTTCATTCTCTGCAAATAACTCTCTTCTTGGGTATGTCTGCAACACTATGAGACTATAAACCCTACCCAGAATTACATGCAAAACATTTAAATCTCAAATATAATGGATGGAGAGCCTCTGGAGAAAAATCTGTCTTCAGGTTTGCCAAAATTGTACAATGGATTTAGGTGCAGACTTTAACTGGACCATTCTCACACATGAATATGCTTCAACTTAAACCCTTCCATTACTATTCCATTATATAACATTTCATGGTCTAGTTTTAAGTCTCTTACAGCTCTAACAGATGTTCTCCCATCCCCACATGATGACACTGCCACCACCGTGGGGATAGTGTGTTCAAGACTTGCTGAAGTTACTGTGGGCCTCTTGATTGCTTCTTTCATTATTGCTCTACTTGCCCAGTCTATCAGTTTAAGTGGACAGCCATGTCTTGATTGCTTTGCAGTAGGGATGTAACAATTAATCAAATTATGATTAATAGTTTATCAGCAATTAGTTCCTTTTGATTAACTATAATGGCAGTTTAGACCTTCTGTCAGTGTTGTAGTGTGGCTGTATTCCAGCAGAGGGCACTGTTGGTCATCCTTAAGTGGAGTCAGTTGCTACAGAAACAAAGATGGCAGGGCCATACTAGAATAGGAATGAGAAACGGTCCCAACAGAGTCCGATCCTTAAGTTTTACATGAATACAGCTGACTCAAGAAATTAAGATGTATTGATGTGTCCTTTTTTTAAATTCTGCATATTATCAAAAATATAACTCTTCATGTTATCGAAATACAATCAGCCGTCTTGATAAAAGAGAAAACTCAGGTTTTCTCATTTAATCATTAGTCGATTGATAAATTCAAGCAACTTTAGATTAAAAAATAATCCATAACTTGCATCCCTGACTGCAGCTGAGCCAGTGTATTTATATTTTGGGACGACAGAATGGTGCTTTGGTCACTTCAGAGAGCAGTTAGACGCACTTAATTTTATTTAGGGGTATAATTATAAAAGGAGTCCAGTACTAGTGCTGGTCATTTAAAATTTCTCCTAAAAGCATTTAAAAGTTATTTCCTTCAACTTCATAATTATTCACTACATTGTGTTGGTCCATCAAATCAAATAGCAGGGACAAAGTTGTTTTTTTTTTTGTCAAAATGTGACCAAATATAAGAAATATTCTCTATGAGTACAAAGAGTTTAGATAGGCAGTATATGCATGGTTGAAATAGACCCTTTTCCTATAGTGACATGTATCAAATTTCTCAAATGTGATTAAAAAAAGTGCATCTTAAGTCGACATTAGCAAAAAAAAGAAAAAAAGAGAAATTTCTAAAGACTAATGAGAAGAACAATTGAAATTCTGTCTTGGTGAGCATTCAGGACAAGTTCTCTCAGCCACTGCAAAGAATATGGATAACAGATCCACCAGAAAGCATCAGTGAGTAAACTGTCTGTTCTTGGTTTGGATTTTAAATGTAGATTTGCTATTGTGGTGATGCTGATGCATAAAATCAGTCTGTTTCTTGCAAAGAAGAATGAATCATTTGACCTTCCTGTTCTGTGGTGTCCTTAAAGCTTCAGCAGAAAAATAAGATTTTAGACAAGAAACTGCTGATCTACTGAAGGTAAGGTTGAATCCTGGAATGTGTCAGATTTTTCTATCATGTTTTGGTGTAGATGGAAAGTACAACACTACAAATACCATCAATTTCATTATCTAAAGACTGATTCAGAAAATACGAGCCTGAAAATTTCAATGACTGAAATGTACGAAGAGATCATTAATAAAAGTTAAAACCTAAATTAAACTGTTCTCAGATATGCCATTCTCTGTATTGAAATGTAAAGTTTCTAACACTAATTTATTATCAGTTCAAGTCAAAGCCTTCACAGTTTTAGTGTTGCATCATAACCTCTGCAGAAAAAAATAGATATTCAGCAGCATTAAAAACTCTCTAACCTTCACAGAAACACCCAACTGCAAGCTCTTAGTTCCCAGCCTGCTCCTTCCTGAGGTGCTAAAAAGATGGTTGATCAGAGCGTTTGAAGATTTACAGAAAAGAACCTAAACACAAAAGAGGAGGGCTGACTGAGACTTATCCAGAGGATTATGTGACAGCCATGGCAGAGGAACAGAGGAGCTGCTCTACCTACAGTGATTCTTCTGCTAGGTAAAGCTTGTAGTTTGATGTAGAATTCATCTCAGCAAAAATTTGGCATGAATACATTAGCATTAATAATAGCTTATGTTTGCATATAAACACTAGCAGAAAGCATTTGTTATCGCTGCATTTCATCACACCAGGCGTCCATGGACACCTGAACACAGGCAGGATGTGACTCACGGTTAGAATAACATATATATATATATA